CCCCCCCCCCCACCCACCCATTCTTACAAAAGGAGCAAATTACTGCGCCTTTATCAAACTGTCTGACTCACATTCATTTCAGTAGAAAACATCAGGCTCAACAGTTTATTGTCAGAGCAGTGCTGTCAAGCCTGGCAGTTTACGCTGTAGACTCATATTGTAGTTTCCTTGTCTGCTAGCCCTTGACGTCGAAGTAAATTATTGTAAAAACGACCATAAGTTTCCTGAATGTCACATTGTAGCATCCTTCAAGGAAGTGTGAAAGAACAACACACTCGACTGGTAATCTCAGAGCGCCGCATGACACCGGCAAATCAAATAACATAATATAAAATGCAAAGCTGTGAATGCATGCACTTACGCAAATATGCCATCTTTATATGTTGATGAATGTAGTAGTGCATATAGAACTGCAAGATGTCCCAAAAGGCCAACTTATTAGTCTTAATATTGCCTTGTCAACAGCTACTTACTTAAATGATACAATTACACTAGGAACTTATTCAAAAGTTTCACACTGATATATATATGGCTCCTGTCCTTAAAGGAATGTGTGCTAACAGCTAATTATTTCATAGAGTACTTTAAAGGTTATAAAGCATCCATTTAGTAGGCCTATTTAAAATCAATCACCACATGGATCCCAAGAAAGCATTTTCTACACTACAACTTGTGACCTATTTGATATTTATATGACACTCAGTCTTGTTTATGTCCATCTGTGTCCTCACAGCTCGTCTCCACTGTCTGCACAGGCAGGATAAGTCCAAGGATCCAGCGGGTACCAAAAACATCCTTAAGGTTGGTTCGCCAGGGGCTGCAGTTCTCCATGAGCTGCCCCCTCTGCATCTGACACCAGGTCTGTCCCCGGGCCACCAGCAGCACCTGCTGGCAACAGAAGCCAGCACAGACCAGGCCGATGCCGAGCCACACATACAGCATCAGCACCAGGAACAACTGCAAGCCTGAGATTGTTCCTGTGGGGAGAAATTAAGAAGGACATTGTAAATTCTCAGGAAGTCAACATGTGTCTTAAAATGTTCAGCTTTAACTGGACTGATTAAACAACTCACCCATGAAGAAGTAACCAGTGGAAATAGGGAGAAGAGTCAGGAAGGTCAGCGGGTTCTCAAAGGAGATGGAGTACTCCACTGTTAGAAAGGCCACACCGAGAACCAAGGAGTACAAACAAGTGCATGAGGTGTAGATGCAGAACATGATGAAGTAGCGCATGTTTTTGTTGCCAATGCAGTTTCCAGTGAAAAAGCAGTGGTGATCCCTCTTGAGAATAACTTTCTTACACAGTTTGCAGAAGTGGCGGCCGTTTAGGAGGTAGTGCGCGTCCACTTTGTCCGAGCAGTGCAGCGAACACACCGAAACCGCAGTCTCGTTGGCACTTTCAGCAGGATACTTAATAGTCATTATGTAGTTTCCCAGTGCGTTGAACATCAAGAACAGGAAAACAACTGTGTGAAGGACTGTCGACCCCTTCAGTGATGTGTCCTGGTTTGGGAAGATTGTTGGGATGAAGAAGCAGAAGTGCAAGATGAAGGTGACTGCTGTAGCCATGAAGAAGTATGTAGGTGCTACAGCATTGAGGAGTCTCAGTTTTAACATCCTGGTGAACATATCTGTGAGAGAGAGGGACACAGTGGGCAGAGTGTTACTGCTGCTCAGTGCACTGATCATGTAGATTTGCGCAAAATAAATGACCTTTTCAAAAATTTTAAGAAAAATAAAAAGATACAGGTTAACAAAATCTATTTGATCTTGTCCAGGTGAAAGAAGACCAGCTGGCTCTTCTGATGGAAATATAATTTCAGTATTTATTCAGTTACATTTGTCTACAATTTTCAGAAACACTTGACTTATATATTTATATATGCATCTATATTTTACCCATTTCTATCTTCCTCTAAACTGTTCGAACTGTGTATATGAGAGCCACTTGAAACCAGAGTCAAATTCCTTCTATGTGTACACACACTTGGCCAATGAAGCTGATACTGATTCTAAGATTAAGAGTTTTTTTAGAGGGAAAAACACTTCCAAGGATTAAGTTTAGGTCAGTTTACATGAAGCATCTTGGTGAAAGTAACACGCCCCCTCTGAAGATAGATCATAAAGAGCGAGTGATCTCATTTAACACATGCTGCTGAGAAGAAAAAAAAACTAATTTCTCTGCAGAGTAGGGTCTGGGGATTCTCAGGGACCACTGAGAATACCAAGAATAGGTTATCTCACCCTTTTCACTGTGATCTCTAACCTACAGCACGAACAGACGTGCAACTCACAGTAATGAGCTCCCACAGATGAAGCCTATAGCTGAGTCTTTATGCTCTCATATGAAACCTCTGGGACGCTCTACTGTAGGCCAGTGAATGCCCTAGATGACAGACAGCATAAACAGCACAACCAAGGACTATCGCAGTTTCAGTACCCCTGTTTTTCTTCAGGAAACCGACCAGACCGGTGCCAGGGATGGCGTCAGTCATTAAAGCTCCCATGACGACGCAATTAAAACAATGATGTAATAAAAGCATCCTCATCGCTGCCTACCTGCGGGTGTCAGAGAGTGGAGGAGCTGTCCGTTCAGTACCACGGAGCCTCGGCTCAGAGCTCAGCACATTCATTCAAACGTGAGCCACATCGACGTCTCTTTTCATTGTTGGGGTGTCTGCTCCTTTGTCTACCGCCGCCTGTTGGTCTGGATGCGTCTGTTTTCCTCCTGGTTTTATTTTTTTTATTTTACTCTACCTGCCTTTTAACTTCCTGAGTAATCACCTCGCCTTTTTTTTTTAGCAGACCACATCCATATATTCTAATATTATGGTAACAGCACAAATCTGAAGAAGCTACGTGGAGACATTGCATGTAAGCAAAACTGCACAAATTAAAATAAAAACGTTTCTTTAAAATATATTTTTATGTCACAGCTTTTGACTTAAATTTAAAATTTAAAATAATCCCTTTTGGCCTTTAAACACTCATTGCATGTGTATAGAGCTCTTATTTGGTACATTATTATTTAATTTGATTACTGACAGTAAAAAGGGAGGCATTCAGATCCTTTACTTAAGTAAAAAATAACAATAACACACTATAACTGAAGTTACTTAAAGTATCAAACGATACTTCAAATAAAGGGTCTCTGTGAGTGTTATTAGATATTATATTATTATCATTATTTATTTATTGAAGTGTGCGTGTGCTGTTGTAGTTGGTCGAGCACATTTGAGCCGATTTATATACTGTTACGGTAGTAACAACAATACATCACATTTTATATATATAGCTCATTATATGTTTTTGTATGTAATATCTACATTTGAAGTAAAGTAACTGCAGTGGCCAAATAAATGCAGTCGAATAAAAAGTGCAATATTTCCCTCTCAACCAGTAAAAAGACAAAAAATTGTTGTTGTTTATTTTAGTTTGCCGGAGCAAATACAAGCAGAGGTTGGAAGCAATGCAAGAGAGACAGTTTTCCAGTAGGTGGCGATGCCTCCTTAATGATTTTATTTTAGTGTGTTGTCACATTGCTGATAAAGATTTATTATAATTTGTCATTACTCAGCAGCCGGAACTGATCCACACATTGTTCACCTTTTGTTGTGTCATCGCCTGAATCACTCTGCAGATTTCCTTTTAGCTTTAATAATAATAATAATAATAATAATAATAATAATAATAATAATAATAATAATCAGCAAAG